CAGACAAATGAAGTTGAACGCTAAATAGATTTTTTTTTTTTCTTGTTTAAATTCAGCCCAAATCAAAATAGAAGTGGAAACATTTTTGGTTGCACTTCATTTTGATGGTCAGTTTGTTGAATTTAAGTTGCATTGCATCTACATACAAACTAATTCTCATTAGATTGTTAGTAGACTGTTGGGTTAGGGTTAGGGTTAGTTGGCATGTACTTGCAAAGTTTATAGTCAGTTAAATGTCTGGTGGATGTCTGCAGAGAGTCTACTAATATACTCAAATGAACCATCAAAATAAAATGTTACCTATTTAGTTTCAGTGCGAGTACATAAATAGACTCAATGATGAGCTAATCTGTGGTTTCCTTGTCAGCCTAATAACTAATTAATTGCACATGCAGTGAATCAGAAGTGCTGAATATTATGTTGCGACTGATAGACATGATCTACTGAAAACAGCGTACTGTTCTCATCAATGAACAAAGCCCAGTTCCTCCAGCCAGGTGAACTCATTTATTGTTTCACAACACAAATCCGCAGCGTTGCACTTTACTATATTTAAATATATATATTGGCCTTCGATGTTTCTAAATATAAAAGTGGAGTGATCAAGAGCGAATGCATGAAAACATCCTCCTTTAAAGCCTCTTTCCTGTGTGCATAGTTCTCACATCAGTATGTATTTTTTACCTACTAAAAATACAGCATGGACCGGCTCTTTGACATGAATATGTCTACCCAAAATAGATTTGGCCAACGTCTTTTTTTTTTTTTTTTTTTGCACCCTGTATTGTTTGCACTTTAGACGCAGTGACGGTCTGCAGATACGAGGCTATGAAATCGTCTGTTCCTCTCTGATTCTGCTTTTCATAATGTTTGCGCTTTTGCTCTCGTTAATTGAATTACATTTTTGTTTTTTATTTAATTGTTGGATTAATTTCCCAGAGCATTTCAGGGGGTTACTTATTAATGTGGCGTACGCACAAAGATTGCGTACCACACAAAATTAACGATTTAAGAAAAACTGATTTATATGGGGAATGCAAGTAAACTCTAAACATATTTAACATATTTAGTCTGCTTGATCAAAAAAAAATGTTGGTTTTTAAATCTAACTAATCCCTAAAATTTAAATGCATTGTAAAAATAGTTTGTTTTGGTAATCTTCCATCAAATCTGAGCATTTGCTTTCACTTTAATAGTGGGCGGTCCTTCTGTTGACATCAATCAGAGGGTTTCCATAGCAACTGTATATTAATGCCCTGTTAGTTTGCGCTTTAGGGGATGATGTGCAAAGGAAAGCCCCGCCCCCTAATCAACATTCAGCTTCAAGTGGAAGTGCTGGAGAGTGGCGTACGCATGTTCACGCTCCTGTTTTGTGGTGTACATCACTTTCCACACAAAAGTTATGATTTATAAAAAACTGATTTGATTGGAGAATGCAAGTAAACCTAAATATTGACTTAACTGAGCCACTTTTTAAGTCCTCCTGAAATCAACATGTGCATTGTTTGTTTTTCTAGCTCACTTTGTTAATCTTAAAGTGAATAATTAATCCCTAAAATTAAAAACAAAATTGTAAAAATAGTTTGTTTTGGTAATCTTCAATCAAATCTGAGCATTTGCTTCCACTTTAATAGTGGGCGGTCCTTCTGTTGACGTCAGTCTGAGCGTTTCCATAGCAACTGCATATTAATGCCCTGTTGCTCTTTAGGGGATGATGTGCAAAAGAAAGCCACACCCCCTAATCAATATTCAGTTTCAGCTGGAAGTGCAGTTGAAGTCAGAACTATTCGTCCTCCTGTGATTTATTTATTCAAATATTCCCCAAATGATGTTAAACAGAGTATTTAGTGCCTCACAGCATTTGCTGTAATGTTTAGTCTGCAGATCTGAGGCTGTTTTTCTCAGATTCTGCTTTTCATAACATTTGCACTCTTGCTCTCACTAACGACCTCGTGTCAAGACTAAGACTAACAAGAGCCGGTTTTCTGGCCAAAGTCCAGCGCAGGCGGTTCATGTCTGTCCTAATGATATATTATTTAGATAAAGTCCTGCTATCATCAGACCTCGGGTTATCTGTGGCTCTGTGATGACTCCAGTGCTGGACTCATATCTCTGGATTAAAGCACTGATTTGTGCTGAGGAAGTGCTTTGGAAATTTATTTATTTATTTATTTATTTATTTATTTATTTATTTATTTATTTATTGATATTATATTATATTATATTATATTATATTATATTATATTATATTATATTATATTATATTATATTATATTATATTATATTATATTATAT